AACATGATAGACTGTATCTTATTCTTCTCCTTTGTCTCCTTAAAAACCAACCGCCACACGATGACAAACACAGCACCAACCAACGACATAATTCCGACAACCCAGAGACATATCCTAGGGGCTCGATCTCTGAACATAGTTTGACAACTGGCGAAGCTGTCGACATAAGCAAAGTCGCAATCTGCGTCCTCCTTCGTCAAATGGCAACACATCAGGTTGGTGTCTACAGTTCTACGGTTCATAAAAAAAAGTTGAAATGAATCCCAAAAGGAGAAGAAAATAGAACATTTCGATACTGAATTTAAGACAATGAAAGGGTAATAGTAATACTCTACATGCTGCCTTGTTGTATACAGATCAATGAAATTTCTCAATTGAACATCTCCAGACACCATTCCACTGACTTACACTGCTATTAGATTTCTCATGTTCGAGAAGAAACCGGCCGGCAGTTCTCGCATTTCGTTGTAATGGAAGTAACTGCAAATTAAAGGAAAGCGATTCAATTCAACATCACTCGCTAAGTTATAAAGATGCTGCTGTCTTAAGCCCAAGTATTTTCAAGCTTTTGAGCTCTCTTCTTTTCCTTTGCTCTACCCAGTTCTCACACCCCCAAAAATTCACCTCTTAACACTTCGTGAAACTCCCTGGGATTCAGAGGGGTGGAAGGAATGGAAGGGTATACCATTGTCAATGAACAAATTCTCGTCAATTGCGTTGATACCCATACAGTTAGGACCCTGAGTAATGGGAAAAATAGGCATTTTAGAAGACGAGAGAGCAAGTCACCAAGTCACACATATCTGAATACGAATAATTCGCTACGGAGTACGTAAAACATACCTATTATATGAAAATGTGTATATATACAATATTACATCGGTAATCTACTTGAGAGAGGACGTTTAATTGAGAGAAAGCCCTCATTTAGTTTTCTCGAAAGTTCTTCAGTAGCCAGATCTGATCCTGATTGGTTTTAGGAGTGTAAAATTTGCCCGTGACTAATGGTATAAATTATGCATTAATATTCAAAGCCCGTCCTTAGCTTTACACTCGTGGAGGTATCTATGGGCAACTTGAATAACGTAATTCTCAACTTGCATGATTTGGCTGACTGGATTACTTGTCCGTAAAATAGGGGAAGGGACGCTAATCCTAGAGTCACAGGCATTGTCTCCCTAGAATTTGGAATTCACTCTCCGTACAGATTACAATCCCACGTACACCTTGAGTAATTGCAGTTGTTTCATACTCACAGGAATCGAATGCTTGGCGCGATATCTTTGAATTGCTCGTTGCTCACTTTGCGGATTTTGTTAAAATAAAAGCTCCTGTAAGTGACGATAGAAAGAAAGGATAATTCGTTAATGACAAACATGAAAACATGAATTTAGAAGAAATAAAAAGCAGGATAATTGATTGTGAGTGAGCACGAGTGACCACGTGTGACCACGCGTGACCACGCGTTACCAAGAGTGACCACAAGTGACCACGATTGTCTCTGAGCGACCACGAATGATAACTTCTTGCCACTAATCACTCGGATGATCAAGAGTAACTACTAAGCAGTAACCAGAGGAAGGGAGAAATGCTGTCACTCTCCTACTTCCCGCCACACGAGCCTTTTATCCGGTATCAATAACTCGTCACTCTTCTCTGTCAACTTTTCATTTTTGCTTTTCTGTTGTTTTGTTTTTATCTTTTGTTTTACATTTTACGTATTTTTGGTATTTATTGCTCGTTTTCTTTCCATTCATTTCCCTAAGTCCCTTCCCTCTGCCTCTGGGCGGGAACGGGCTCATTACATAACAATTCTTCACAGCGAAGTAGCTCTGGGAACTACCCTTTCAATGAAGGAAGTGATACATTGTTTGCATATGTCAGTCTCTGGGAATATGGCTTATCAACGTTGACATCCCAAGTTTTTGGATAAAGTCACCTGATGATAATGAAATTATGATGTCAGCCAAATTTATAACTTCTTGCCCTAGATCACGTGTAGCCACTTGTGGTCAATTTTGGTTGTTAATGGTCGCTCGTGGTCGTTCGCTGTCAGTGGTGGTCACTCGTGTATAATTTTTGACACAACCTTCCCAAATGACGGCGATGCAGAACATGCGGACGACTGCGCTCTCACAAGACCCCAGTTTTGCAATGCTTCACTAACTTCGAATAAAAATGCTAATGAGAAATAGACTTACATAGACTGCAGTTTTGTTAAACCTTTAAAAACTCCACGCGGCAGGTACTGAATATTGTTTTCATAAACAGCCCTTGAACGACAAAGAAGACAAATCATTATCACCGTGACCTAAAGTACAGAAAACTATAGTTGCAAACAATCTTCTAATTCCTTTATCGACTCTACCATGTCTTATCACAAAGATATCTTTATAAACTGCGTGACGCTGAGAAGAAAATTGCTAAGGATCACTTTAAAAATTAGGTAATGGTAGATAGCGGTTGCCTTGCTTAATTCCAGTACGCGTACGCGCCGATTTATGTACGGGAAAGAGCTTCGACATTCATTTAGTAATTGTCTTATTTTTTTCTGACATGTAAAATCTTGCCAGTGAGATCCGAGTTGGCACTTGCTATCCTGGATGATATAGCAACTTCAAACTCGAGCAACGTCACACGTGATCCTGGTAACCTCCAAGGTGTTTGAGTCTAAGCCAGCCAAAGCACACTAGTTTGAGTAGTTCAACAAAACCTTGAGCAAAAGTGGGTCAGGGAATTAGTCTGCTCACCCTTTGCATCACGCCACGGATACAATTTAACTTATAATTTAGAAGATTACTTATTCCTCGAGTATTTGTTTTTTTTCTTTCGCAAGCGCACATCCTCTAACAGAAAATTTAAATGAAACAAAAACTAAGACAGCCGCTAATGAACATTGATTTCAGATGATCAGATATCTCGTGTAAGGTCATGAATTTTTACTAGTGCAGAGACATAATTTCCGTTCGCCATTCTGTTCATATAAAATTACTGGATTTACTCACAGGTCTCTCAATTTGGACAGGCCTTGGAACTGATCCCGTGACAGGGTTACGAGGCTGTTTTTCTCCATGTATCTACGCGATAAATGAAATACACGAGACGCTCTGTATCACTATTTAACAGTGAATATAAATTTAAATAGTTGTTTGGGCTCAGAAATGTTTCTCGTCAGGATCAGCTATGATTATTTATATCGTTTATTCACCTCATATAAACGTTCCTTAAATTATTTGTTCCTTGTTCTTCAGCAAACTGTTTTACTGCTCGTCAAAGTTGTTCAAAACTTCATTAAAAAGCATCGTCAGACTGCCTAAGACTGCTTTTACCGGGACGAGGACATTTTGATCACACCACGCTTGCACTGATTGTTCTGAACGCCGGTTAAATAATGGCTTATTAACGGTATATACCCTGGGTGCACATCGTCGTAAAGCCGGTGTAAAATAGCCAGCCGGTTTTTTGCCTGGTTAATTTTGCGATCAAGTAAAAGCTTGTATTTACATTTCTTATCGAAATACGGAATTCAAAGTTTTTGAACACCCTTTGTTGCTAGAAAAAACCTGAAAATTATAGGCTTTGTGTCCTGATTAACATTCCACCTTTAATTTAGATTTTGAAAAGATTCCCTAATATCTAGCAGAGGTTTTTTCGAAGAGATTTTGAAGAGTCATGAACTCAAATGTTTTGTGATAACTATAAACCCACTTGATTAACCGCGTTGCTTTTTTCTTTGTTACGATTTTGAATATCGTCATCATTATCATATATCGCTTTTTGTCTCATGGGAAGGCGTCAATAAAGTAGTGTGTGGTATTATATTTTGGCATATAAACACTAACGAAATACCTGGCGAGCTTTCGCGCACAGTGAAAGTAACACGTTATCTTCACAAGTAAAAATACCGCTGTTACTAAAGTTCCGTAATAAATTGCACTTTTTTGCAGCTAAAGGAAAATTATCAGGTTTTTATTGGTGTTCATATAATAAATATTACATGGCCGCTTAGGGATACGAAATTTATCGTCTCGTGTTGAAAAGTATCTTTCGAAACTCGAAGAGAAAGTTCGCATCTTCGCGCGGCCATGCGATATCCTCAACATGTGCGTTATCTTAACAAATATGATAATAAATGATTCTTATTTTCTGCATCTATTTTAAAAGTTACTGTATATTTTTCGATTCAAATCCTTAAACCAGCTTTTAATTAGGTCTGAGAATGTTAGAGAAATAATAGGTCGGCACAATGATTCTCTGTTTTTACCCAAAGCTCTCTTTTCATTTCTGTCCATTAAACAAGACACGCACTGAACCAGTTTTTTTTACAAACACAAATCACTTACAATGTTTCTATCTCGGAGAGATTTTTTAACTTTGGCAAACGCTGAAGTTTGTTATTGGAGAGAAAGCTTAAAAAGAAAAAACAAAAGGAAAAACGCTGAGAAGCAAGTTAACTGCGTTGGTATTTGAGACGTTCGGAGAGTTTTTTAACCCAAAAGGGACCTCGTGAATTGACATTAAAACTTAACTGTTTATTTTTATTTTAGCAGAATGAGATGATTGCCAGCGAGAAAAAAATAAACAAACAAACATTCAGTTAACAAACTGCATTTCCAAGGGCTATGTGGAACTCTGTCATTTCTGTCTTGGATGACCTTTTTTTCTGCCGAATTTCTTATCTTATAGAGCTTAGGCAAAAGTAGTTCATTATTCAGTTTTAGTAATCAGTTGTAGTAATCTTTGAAAACTTGAAAACTACCTCTCTGAGAAGCATTCAAATTTCCCTGTCCAGTTTGTTTGGGTTTTTGTTACGTTCGATAAATAGATACACGTTATTCGATGGTTTAACAAAGTTGTAAGGCAGACGGATGATTTCCGAGTTGCGTAGTATTTGTTTTCATTTTAGCGAGGAAAGATGCAAGCATTGCGTATAATGTTTGCTTGTCGAATAAGGGAGAAAGTGGATTCAGTTGGCTATTACTCAAACTTTTTTTTTCTATTGGATTAGCTTTGCACAATTGTTTACAGAAGTGAGCGCCAGCAAGCTGGTGAAGTCATCTGGACACACCCAATGTCACGTAACCCAGAGCAAAAAACCACCCAATGCATATGTCATTATTAAATTTACGATTTGAATTTTTTAAGTCTCCTTTCATGATGCAAAATTACAAGCAGGCATTTTGAGTTAGCATGAAAACGTACAAAATGAGAGCAAAAATGTGTCGACAAGTTTTTTTAAGGGTGATTTCTCTGTTTTGTCTTTTTTTTTTAGAATTCGTCAAACCCATGTCTGCGTTTCAATAAAGATATATTCTCTTCTTATTTAATACAAAGGAAGAAAGTGCAACTTTTCGTTTTCGAGAGTGGCCCCTTTTTTGTCTACAACTGTAGTAAAACTTCATTGTGACATTCTCTAACTTTGAAACGTCCTGTTTATGAACTACTCACACAAAACTGATCAAACTCCATGTCCGACTGGTTAACTAGTGGCTCCAATAAATAAATCAAGAACGAGAGGTGTATAAAACCATATTTTGAACTGCTCGAGAGCAATAGATCACAAATGCAATACAGAGAAAAGCAATATTAACGTTGATGAAGAATTTTTGAAAACAAATAACAAAATTTATACTTACACTTCCTCTAATGTGGACATTTCTTGAAGAATGTTTGGGGGCAGCTTTTCCAGCTGATTACCACTCAACCGCCTACATATAAAAAGCGATAAAAAAGATCCTATTGTACGAAAGATGCTTCAAACTTAGGGCAGAGATTTTCTGATTATATTATTGTACCTAGGATATCCACATCATAAACGCTTTCCCAATTTTTGGGTTGATTTTCTAGTTTTCAAGTCTGTATTCGAGAGCAAAGTTTCATCATATCTTCGCTTTTAGTTCCGGGATATCGTTGCAGTTTTCCTACCTTCGAATACGATCATCGTTTAGTACGCGTTCAAGAATAAATGGGGAAAAAATTTTCTCGAAGAGAGCCCTGAACTCTTTGTTTATGTTTCGCGGGTCATTGTCAACCTTGCCATGGTGTTTGCGCAGTTTATTTTCGAACACGGCGCCGGGGATTTTAATACCGGTTTTTTAAAAGTTACTATTCGTTTCTTAATTTTTAGCTCTAGCCATCAAATATACTACAACTGAATTTCGTCAAGCAGCATAGCGTTTCCAAAAACCTTCTGGTCCATCTGAAGTAATCTTGTGCATGCTGAGGAAGTAACGTGCCACCAGACACTACTCCCTCTAGATTAGCATCGATAATTTATTGATAGAACCATTGTGTTAAACACCTTTCTTTGTCCTCTTTATCGACTCTTAGTAAGATATATGAGCCCGCAGGATTCAGCAGTATTGTGCCTTTCAAATGATCGTACTGTGTAACTTGTTCAAGTTTTCCATGCCAAACTGTTTTTTTAATTTCTGTAGTGCTAGTCATGTTCAGGTATTTCTAAATGTGTTGCACAACCAAAGTAATTAGCACCTTCGCACAAGCACCTAGAAATGCGCACTCACAAACACGTAACTACCTTATCAGCACCCGAAGATACGATCAATATAAATCTGAAAACGTTACGCCGTTTAATGATTGCACTTTCGATACAAAACTAAACGTTTTCAATTGAAATCATGTTCACGCTGCTGCAGGCACATGCGATCACGTCAGAAACGGAAGAGAGCTAGGAATATCCCAAATGTTTGCTTCAAAAGGTGTCAGGTAATTGCTACTCACAAATATTTCAACATATCTTGCCCTGTGAAGAGATCTTCAGATAAGTTTTTTAAGTTGTTGTTTCCCAGCCACCTGTAAAACGCATAAAAGTTAAATACCATTAGCATTTGAAAAAATTTTCATTCCTTGTACTGACTAGAATTTGCAATAGGTCCAACTTTTTGCCAAACTAAAGGTTTGTTCTAGAATTCACATCTACATGTACTCAATATTATGACGGCTTGAACATTTCTCATTTTGTCTACCGGAACAATGATTGGCGCGTAAGTATACTCATTCGTTGCTGTTCTTGAGTCTAGCAGGTCTTACCATCATAATCTTCCTATTAGGCTACCTTCAACTAAGGCATGTCTACGTATATTTTATTGTCATCTTTCAATTATTAGACAAAAATCGTTTTTCAGTAAGCCTGCGAGACAAATTGCACTCGGTAATGATAAATCTTGATAGACAGAGGAACATTAACACGTTTAACCTGAGTTGAACATGGAATAATATCTCTAATAAAATATATGCCTAAGTTATAGGCCATTCTTATGTCATCCAAAGTAAAAGATAGGATTTTTGTAAGTCGTGCCTTTTTCCCCCTAGCTGTTAATTATTTTGTTAAAGAGGATTTGTACAAGTGCCTGATGTTTGTCAAATAGGAAGAGGAATCACTCCAAGTCAGTGGCAGTCAACTATATTAAGCTTCAGAGCGAATAACTTACAGATCAGTTAACTTGTAGCGCTTGAACAGATCACTTGGTAGAGTCTCCAGTTTGTTGAAGTCCAGAGTTCTGTATAAAAATATACGGTCTTTCATTGTTCAGTCGGGAGTGTGGGATTTTATTTTGATTCTGTCCACAAATGTAAACAGACAGGCTGTGGTTGCACACTTAAGTTAACATTGAAAGTTACAAAAATAAAATGTTTGAACAAAAGCTTGCACGTTTCTAAACAATGTACGTGTGCAATTCCAACGAGCCATTGCAGTCAGTACTCACTGATTTAAAAAGAAGGAAGATTTAGAGGAATTTTTAATCAGTCTAACTATGTTACAGAGAACACTCAGTTTGACGGTCAACATTACTTATCAATAATAAATGAGCGTGACAAAATTTTAAGTATATCAAGTTGATCTGCTCTATCATATCAAACTTCGCCTATTGTTATGGTATGATCTGTTTTCGGGCAATGGCCCTATTGTTTACACCGGATGCTTTAAATCGTGCTTAGCAGGCATCGAGTTCGGGCAAGAACTTATTGGTGTAACAATTTTTGCCTCTTGGTAGTATCCTTGGGAATTTATGTAGCCCAAGAAATTTGAAGAAAGAAATAGTGTGGGAGAGGGAGAAGTGATTGGTAGCCACCAAACAAAGCGCTGATTTCACAGCTTTTGTTGTTAGGACCACTTTATTTTTCGTCTTTTCTGACTTGTTCAGTTTTTTTGGGTTTTTGGTATTTGAAGAAGAATCAGAATGCATTAGATCCCCTGGAAATGAAAACTCCTGTTATACCACAAACTAAACATCCTACATAAATACTGCAAGGAAACCGTCGTTTACCACAATGCAGCTCAGAAAGGGTTCATAGACTTCCAGCTTAATATCATAAGTTGACATCAATGGTAATAAGATGCAATATAAACCTTGAATAATTTTTTTAGAACAAAAATCGAAAAGGAGACCTCCTTTTGGTTATTCTGAAGGTGCCGAAGTGTACAGAAACCTAAGGAAATTCATTTTTGCAGTCTCACTTTTCTAATAGGACTTTACATCTTTCTGGAGTTTTTGAAAGTTTTTTATGAATTCGCTCTAGATTGGAAGAATCAAACTGATTCAAAATAAGTCTTGAAGCTGTAATTTATGACTGGAAGTAAGATGAATGCAAAAACGAGCTACGTCTCAGGCTCAGTGAATCGTCTGAAAACCTGTTTATTTCCTTTTCTTGGAATCCTTCAAAATCAACTAAAAGCGCTAGCTGTTTTTGAAGTGCCTTTGCCCTCCCATCAAAAACTTTAGATGCTTTTATTATTATAATGCGCGCCTTTCTTCAGCGGCAAGAACCGTTCAAAATTTGAATGATCAATGTTCAGTTTGTTTTTGCAGGAAGTTTAGATCAGTTTAAAAATGAGAATGCATTAACCAAAAATTAGTTATGTAGGTCAGAGAGCTGACAAAGTTACCAGCAGTTACCAATTCTTTAATTGGAGGTATGTAAGGCTACACTGAGCATACTTCGCTCGCTGCCAGTTCCAATTCATGAATCTTTCCCAGTGTGGAGACCTCAACTGAATATGTAAAGTCATCGAAATTCCTTTTCAATCATTTTGTGGTTTAAGAATTAGCAGTAAATTCAAATCAAAGTTGCTCAAATTTTCTTAGAAGTGACAATACAAAGTTGTTCACGTTTCCAGTCATCATCTCGGAGGACGATATGTTGCAAGATATATTTTAGAACTTTAGATTTGGCAGAATTACTGATCGAAAACTGTATAAGACTCCAAAACCACAGAACTTACAGGTTTCTAAATTCTTTCCCCTTCCTATATATACGTGGTAACTGGTCAGAGGACAAGTTCTTTATGTTGTTGTTGTTCAGGAAACTGCATTGGAAAAATGGAAACACAAGATAGGGCTGTTGAAAAGCAAATAGGCTAATAGATTGATTTCCTTTTGTGCTGCTATTGTAAACTTGAAAGGTAACAAGAAATGTGACAACATCAGACATCTTTCTTAACATTTCGTGAAACAGGAATTATCCAGTGCTCCTGATAATATTTTTCTTATATAAAGAAATCGACGATTGGACCGCAGAATACATGGCTTTTCTCCTGTCGACGAAAGGAGGCTGAAGGGAATCCATTTTCAGAATGCTTCCTTAAGATGAAAAAATAGCCTGTCTTTTTATGCAATAACTGCCGCACACAGTTTCTATTTATTTCTCTGTTTTAAAAAGCTCTCTTTCTATTAATGTTTGCCACTCTATATAACATATGCCAACGGAAAATTAGATCCTTATCTCGATGTCTTTACATAAATTTTTAATTAGGTGCTTGAGCAGCTTAGCGAGGGAAACAGACTATATGAAATGGACTAGATTTTATTTACAATAGATAGAATAGTATCTGGACAAACTGAAAATAGACTGCTAGGTGGTTTGAATTCAATGTTATTCAGTTGGGAACAGATTGCTCGCCAGGCTTCCGACGGCTTGAAAATTAAGGAATCAACGCGGGGTAAAGACCTGTGCGATTCAAAGAGGATCATTCCCATAGAATCACAAAGCATGGCTGAGTTGCCAAAAAAAAAAGGGGGGGGAGGCGCTTGACTGTCCTTCTACGATATCTGTCCCATCAAAATATCAAAATGTCGATAGACAAGTCTTGCTTGTTGATGTTTCGAATTGTCTTTATGCTTTCTTCATTGTTGAGGGTTGACGTGGCTTTGAACCCAGAAAAGGGATGGGAAAAGTATCAAAATCTTGAGGCTGCACAACGCTTCATGTTTTCAAAAACTTACATCCCAACTGGCGGTGTATGACGTTCAAGTAAAAGTGGAAAATCTGAAACAGCTTTATCGCGCAGTCAGTTTATAATCCGTTCTGTTTACCCAAAAACAGTTATTTTTATACAAATCACGAGAATAGAGCTAGATGAGGTGGGAAAAGGATCAGCAGCCCCATATCAAGCGAAAAAAACATTTCACTCACAGTTCTTGAAGATTATAGTTCTCAAGGAAGGCTCCTGAAGGTAGGTGTTCGAGTTGATTATACGACAAGTCGCTACAAAAAAGTAAACAAGGAATATCCAAGTTAGAGGATATGAAAGATATAAGAGAAAAGACTGAAGAACATCATCCTTTAAAATGAATTTTTAGGTATCATGGAATTACATTTACAACTTCGGGAACAAGGCTGCCTACGAAGTTTGAAGGCGCGAGACTGTAATGCACAAAAATTGAGGAACAGAAGATGGCCAATTAATCGAATTGATGGGAGTGGACTCATTACAATAAAGTTAATGAGGGCAATAAAGGTAAAAAAAGATGCTGCGCTGGCTGTGATTGAGTTAAAATGGGGCGATATCGCTGAAGTGCTGGTAGCTGAGGTTTACCGCTCTACAAGCTACCTAAAAGTAGATCGAAAGCCTCTCCCAGCTTAAAAGGTCCCCCAATATACGTGGCAAGGCATGCTTCACCACCTGTTCCTTCCCGCACCAGTCAGTTGACTTTGGATCGCCCACAAGTCCCGGTAAGTTAGTTGGGATAAAAATTTTTCTACTCAGAAACATCATCACACGTTTTCGAGATAGTTCATTTGGTCGAAATTGTACCGCTTACAGCTTGAATTACTGATTTAGCTTTTTATTTTCAGCGAACTAAGCCTAGGATGGCAGCGCTAAATGTCATATTGAAAGAAATGATGTATTCTGAAATCATTTAGTTGTCAAAACTGGTCTTTTGGAATGACCCAGTGCTCAAATCGGTAGTGGTGATTGATTCAAAGCGAAGGAAAGTCGTGCTGAGAACTGAACCCAGTCAAGAGAGGATAAAGTGTCGCCCCTTGGCCCATTTAATAGATACTGTGGTGGAAATCAGAGTCATCACTACATAAACGACGAAGTCTTAGAAACTGAGAAAAATGAATGGAATTCTTGACGTGAGATTCAAAGCGATCCAGAGACAAGCACTATCTTTGCGCAGCCTCCGCTCATTTCATTCAAACGCGACAAAGACATAGGCAATTTTTTGGTCAGAAGTTCTTTTCAGACTAATGACCAACCAGGCACTTTTAAATGCGCTCG